CCCCCCCCCCACACACACACACACAGAGCCCCAGGGAACGCGCTGTCGATACACAGTCTGGTGCCCTGAACCAGAGTCTACGTTCCCTACGGTACCTACTTTGGGTTCCAATTTTTCAATATTTTTTTTTGTTCAGTGTGACATTCACCCGAATAGTTCGATTAAGACAATAAAATGTCGAAATGATCTGGCGGTTCAAATAAATCAACTGGTTGCTGCAATTAAAAAAAAACACGTAGCGCTTTACCCACTTATGCTAATTACTTTGTTAAAGTATTTATGATTTCAGGCATTGTTTACCTCAGTTTAATAAAAGTATACAGGACGGGGTGTCAGCGGTTTAATTAAATAAATTGAATTTCACAAATAACATGGACCTCATATGCAATAATCAACAGTACCTTAACTCATTCAAATGCAGTGTTTTGTATAACTTCGGATAACCATAATTAAATTTTTGTTAAAGAATTGAATAGACGGGAAATGGTTTTACACATCTTCACGAGGATTTAGACCCCTCGGGTAAGAGATTTGAATGAGATTTAACTTTTTTCAGAAGCAGAAAAGTCATCTTACAAGTAGACAATGCAGCTCAACAGCTAAGCACGCTTTCTTCTGCGGTGGCACGATTGTCGTCATCGGACCACGTGACCACGTAGCTCATTAACTCCCAGGCCGAGCAAATAGGACGTTTTTTAAAGCCAAAAATTTACAAAATGAGCTTTTAATTTGTGTATTTGGATAAAGATATCGTTAGCTGGGCATGTTTTCTAAAGAATATGTTCCGTTCAGGCCATTCTGACGGTGAGACCATTGTCCTTTAATGCAGTTGCCATGCATAGACAAAACATGCTCATTAGACCATTTCCCTACTGGCTCTAATATTGAAACAAAAACAAAAGTATATAGTTTTAACTGTTTTATTGTGAAAAGTAGATATAATGAAATTAAAAATGGGAAGTCATTAAAATGTAGAGCTCAATGCTCACATTTCTTTATTTATTTGATCTACACTTAATCAGCATAATTAATAGCAAAAAAAATTCTATTTCACTTTCTGTATGATTGCCATACATCTTGTTATCATATGATAACGATATTACTTGAGAAGTCGACATAATCAGCATTAGGTCTTTTTCCCTTTCTATAAATCTTTTGCACAAATGAGGGTCGATACTCCTCAATAACCTCTCATTCACCTCAATAACTGTCATTCAGTCGCGCCCTATATATGGTACTGAAGAAAGTCCAAAGTGTTAAATCCGTCTAACATATATCTTGGGTACAAAAATATAATATCTGTTCGACAAACTGATAACATATACTGTATTTTCCAGGATATTATACTATTCCCTCCCCTTTTCTTCTAGCAAAAATGGGGGATTAGGAATTGCCATGACAAAAGTGCAAGTAGATGCAAATATCATCAAACATGGAAGGGACCGAGATAATAAATAAAAAAAAAAAAAAAAAAAAAAAAAAAAAAAAAAAAAAAAAAAAAAAAAAAAAAAAAAAAAACGTGAAGAGTCAAAAGAGAGTTAATTACATTCTGTATCAGCACAACCTATTTTTCAATTTCACTCCGTGCCTAGCATACCTAAACATCCACATTAAAAAATATGATATGTTATCAAGCTAATACAAACAAAAACCTCTACAAAAGAGTTATATGGAGCCAAGTAGAGAAAAAAAAACGTTAAGCAAAAAGTTGGTCAATAAGGGCTCATTCCCAATGAAACTATTGCTCTACATACATGAATCCAACTCTGCAGGGACTCTTGCTGAATGCAATCACATTAACAGATTAACATACCTCATTTCCAATGTACTCATAATAACCAGCTTTTCTGTATTCTAGTCTTCACCAGGAGGAGGCATGTTTGTAATAAGGGAGAGTCAACAGTGAGTTGGATCAATCTACGTAGATGAATAAGTTCATAGGGAATGAGCCCTTAGACCTAAATGTCTATTAAATGTCCAGAATGCTGTAACACAAAGCATTTCTTTCTTGTAATAATAATTCTAGCATTCATTTAATTGGATTATAATGATTATAAACTTCAGTCCTAGCTTAGTTTTGGCCTAACAATTTGGACCTTTTTTCAGTCTTAAGTACTTTGTGAAAAGGGTGCCTGAAGACTTAAAACATGTCTTTTATTAGGGCCAACGCACTTTTATCACCTGGAAGACATGCATAATCATAATATTTGTCAAGTTGTGAGCTAGAACTTGTTATCTACCTTCCTTAAATCTAATGAATTATATACTTTAAAGTTCTCACAGACAACAAGCAAACATTTAAATATAATTTTATAACTTACTAATATGACAAAATTTAATGTTACAGATGACACTGTATATGAATAATTCTACAATAAACTGTGTACATGACAATTTTTACATACAAAAATTTTTCACAACAAAATAATGGCATTTTCCCTATTATTGAAATACTGAAGGATATCTTATTTGATGCCTAATCTGTACAAACCTCAGACAGCCTTCCTTAAAGATAATTAAGTGAAATCTCACTTGATTACATGCTATTTGTATGTGTACAGTCTATGGGTGCATTCCCAGAGATTTAGATCCATCCAGAGATTTAGATTTAGATTGACCTAACTCCCTGGGGCTTCACACTAAATTGCAGTCAGCCGAGCGCGCACCATAGTTAATTACCCCCTTACAGCTTTTAGTAGGCGGGACAGACGTTTAAGCTGGCCAAGCTGGCAGTAATCTAGTGAGACTCCATACAGGGCTAGATATGGAATGCACCCTTTCAGATATCTTGGACAATTTCCATTGCAACCATGAAGAAGCGTACTGCTTTACAATGTACTTTGCATGTGCATTAGAACCACTGTACAACACAGGAAAGTGGAGACAAAATGAGCAATATGGAATTTTAAAATGAAAATTAAACCGAAGTGCAACATCTATTTCAATACAGGTATAAACCAAAATATCAAAAGTGTAAAGCAATTAAAAATTTTTTTGCAAATTTATAAACTGGATATATTTTTGTCTGTCAAAAATACAGTGACTAATAACAAGTACTACAGTGCAGCTGAATAAAGACTGAATAAAAAATTATCAACTACTTGCCATCCATTCACCATACAATTTCCTCATATTGCTCTATACCACACATCTAAGCAAATCTTATAACGAAACAATGAGTGTAAAAAATATAAAGAAGATATAACTTTCTGAATACGTATTTCTACATCAAAGAGGTCAATGCCCTACTGGGTATTATCACATAAGAATAAGTAAACAAAACAATATTATATCTGTAAGTATGCAAATAATATGAATGAAAATCTCCAGCCAGAGGCCGGGAATTTCTCCTGGCATCTGATTCAGCAAATTTACACTAGTGGCAGACATGGGGAAGACATTGGAAATACTAAAGGTATGCCACACTACAAGAAATCTGCAGTTCCTCTGAATTCTGCACTGGTCGGAACTAAGCATTTCACTTTCATTTGTCTATGCTATCATGTGGTTTATTTTTACGTACTGAATTTTCACAAAAACCTTCCCAGTCCCAAGAACCTGCCATATCAAGAATATTGCAGGTCCTCTGGCATTTCTGGAGGTCGGACCTGTTGGACAGCCAGTTTCCCCATGTCTGATAGTGGGCTTAGAGATTGTGAAAAATAAAAAGATCATTAATATCTACATTGGGTATACCTACTGAATAAAGGAATACAAAACCTTGAGATAATAAGTAGTTTGCTTTCATAACGTATTACAAAATAAATCTGTACCAACCTAGATATATTCATTGCCATAAAGAAATCTCAAAAGTCATTTCAGTTACTCTTATTTCGAACCTAAAATGCCTCTAAATAAAGAAGGTAACACTATTAATAATAAATATCATCACATTACATGAAGTAATAAAGTACAGCAGCACTGCCCATTGCTCATGATTATAATAATATATCTCCAATTTTTATTAAAACTTATTTGAATTCATAAAGCATTTCCCACCATGCTCCCCTTCACTGTCAGAGTCTGAAATTTAAGTCAGTTTAAAAACTGCATGGGGGAGCCATGGTCATAACAAAGCACTTCATGTGTCCTCCCCCGCCCACCATGCTGTAAACACCTTTTAAAAAATTCTTTTCAGATCCAAATATCAAATACAAAAATGTGTAAGTCTAAAGACTTGTTTTCAACTGTCTTCTATTGCAAAATTCTAAACTTGCAGATTTCTGTATAATATTATACTAACAGTTATTCTGATTCCACACATTACTAGTGTGATGGTAAAATTCAAGTACTTTTTTAGATTGAACACAAGGCCTATTTGTGGCCAATACCAATTTCAGGCAATCACATTTAATTTCAAGCTGGCCACAGACTGGGATTAAAAAATATCAAAATAGGGGAAAATGGGACATGTAATCAGTGTAAACAATTACATGTACCACTGTTAAAATTCATGTCCTTTCTGATTAAGAATATCTCCACGCTACAATATTATACTCTGTACATTTATGTTACATATAATTATTTGCTCATAGATTGTATACTGTATATACCAAATATATAATACTAGTAATAGTATATCACTGTGACTCAGCTATTATAAACTGACGCCTCCTATGCTCTCAACTGAGGCTGTTTCCTCAGTAATGTTGACCGCTGGTTTGCTCAAGTCACCACTGTCCACCAATGTGTCAAAGTCATCATACCCTGCCTCATTGATATTCCTCACCTGTTCACTGAAAGTTGCGCTCGCATTATCTGGGAAGACTGGGGGTATGAACTTCGGAGTAGCCAGGGGTTCGTAAGGAGAGAAATCGCCATCATGGCTGCTGTCATCTGGCGGTATGAATTGAGGACAGCCATTACTCTGTGCATCAAATGAAACGGTCGGGGGTATCCAAATTTTTGGTGGGCCATGTCCATTGGGCAACTGTGAGTCCTTGAGCGATGGAATATTGACACAGCCATTAGAGACAGGGTGACCTTGACCTTGCTTTAAATTGTTGTCCTCCAGCTGCTTCTGCTGCTGACGTCGGGCATTTAACGACTGTGCAACGTGAAAGGAGGGAGGCGATTGGAAAGCCTCAGGCGTTGGTGAGGCTGGTCCCAAAAAATCCTCTGGAGATGTTCGTTGTAGCTCAGTGGGGGGTATCCACAGCTGTGGCCTTGATTCCAAGCCTTCGTCTATCATCAAAGCTGTGTTGTCATGACAACCTGTGTGGAGCTCCTCTCGATTCTCTGGTCTGAGGCTCTCAAGGCCAGAGTCTAAGGGGTCCAGAGAAGAGGATCGTCCCAATCGGGGAACGCTCACTGGCGTTGGCTTACCATACCTTTCACTGAACCAGTTCTTATTTTCTGAAAAATAGTTCTCTGCCTCTCTGATAGCCTGATAAAGCTTTACTCCCTCTGGATTCTGCTCTGGCTGAGAATAATAATCCAGATCACTGATCCCTTCAACAGTATACTTGCTTCCTGGTTGATACTGTTCTATACCGTGGATGTGGAAGAACAAGCTCTCCATGTGGTTCATTAGCAAGAATTTGGGTTGGATGTCCGGAATGATGTAAGTGTCGGGTGTATAACCAAAGTGCACATTGACATACTTGGCACATGGCACAGTAGTCTCTTTGAAATAGCGCTCTCGTATCATTGTGATCACCTGTAGATACATGTCAGATGTTGGCGACTGGTTTTCAAGCTTGTCATACACCTCTCCATTTTGCCGTGCTCTGAAACGTTTGTAAGCTCCCTCGGAGTTGATGATAAGCACGATGTCTGCTCGATCACAGCTTTTGGTCAGCCAGCCCGTTTTCATTTCGCACATGATGTCGTGGTGTGACCAAAGGTCAAGGATGACATCGCAGCCACATTGGAACTTGAGGAAATTGGCAAATTTGATGACTACTTCTCTGTGACGTTCATGGTCATCCGAATACACCAAAAACACAGTCTTTGTTTTGCTGATCTCAAAGTACTGTTTTCCTGCATCTAAATAAAGGGGCAGCAGAATTAATAAAGGGAAATTTATAATGTTAAGGTAAGAGAGATTTCTGTAATTAATCAGCATTTTGTGACTTAAAGACCATGTATCAAAAACTTTGATAGGTGAACAAGGGAATGAAATATGAATCATTCATGGTTTCTTATACACACCCAGCTAGTTTTCATGCATTATAAATTTTTTAAATTGTCATGAAGAGGAATTTAATGCTTAACGTGTGATTTTACAAATTCCAGCCATACCAGGCATGGTGATCCTGGTCTGAGGATTGGGATTTGGGGTCACAGTGACCAAAGGTATCTTTTTCCCATCTTTAGGCTTATTGTTTGGGTAAATAGTCAGTGGCTTCTCAGAGTCCCCGCTAGAAATTCCTGTTAAATAAAAAGAAAAACATGCTATTAAGCCATGCATTATTGTATTATTCAAGCTGGTCTATACCGTATTATATAGTACTCAAGAAAGTGTCAACATCATATTATTTAGACTGCACTATTATATTAATTCCGAATAATTTTGGTGCATTCACTGAATTCTCCAAGATCAAAAAATTAACTAGCCTAAATGCAGAAAAAATGGCCAATTACTGAACAAATCTACAAATTAAGCCTTCAATTTTACTGGCATTCTGCAAGGGACCAGAATTAACATTCCAGACAGTCATATTTTACCACTAGTGCAGGAATTACTCAATCTTTTCAGTGGGGGAAAATTGTGAATTTTACAGATACTGGTAAGAGTACTGTATTTTATAAGTCATAATTTATTCAAATTAGAACTTTCCTATTCAGTGGTACAAGTAACAACAAAATTAAAAAGTAGCATACTCTATATTTCTATGCTACAGTATGCAGTAAAAGCAATACGAATGCTATATTAATATTTAGAAATAAAATATGTGTGATTAGAAAATCATGTATGTGAAAGTTTTATAATTTTTGCCCTTGGAAAACATGGAGTTACTCCTGAAGTTCTAAAATAATCAAAACTGCTCACTGTAACCCGGCCTCCTTCTCCACCAATACAACAGTGCCGCAACACCCAGCAACATCATTGCTCCAAGTACACCTAACACAGCAGGCACCACAGCACTGGAGGGCCTATCCGCACCTTTACTTGCTCCAACCTTGGGAGAGACAGCATTGGTGGTGCCACCTGTTGTCCAGTCATTACTGCTGCCACCTGGTGTTGGTGATTTAGAAACAATTTTGGGGACCTGGGCAGTGGATGGAGGAAGTTCTACACTGAGATTGCACTGGCGTAATTTTTCTCGACTGACGTCAGATTCTGGAATGAAATTTATCATGTATGGTTTAAATCATTAAATTCCTAAATTTTAATATTATCTGCAGTGAAGTTGGATGTTGATAACGTGATAACTGTAATATTTGTAGTATTCAAATTTAAGTTGTTAGCATAATGGTAACTATATAATATTGCACTGTTACATTATCAGTCGTAACAGTAACATGACCATTTGCTATTGTAACTACTTTTCTTAAATTATGCTTCATGTGACAACTTATTCACTGGTAACGTTGCAAATTACATTTATTCACAGTTAATACGACAATCACTAATAAACACAATCGATCATTATATTATTATATCATTATATCAGCGTCCTCCACTAAATCGAGTCTAAATCTGACACTGGATCAGTAGAAATTCATAAATGTATTCAGTTACAGGCCACTGTTTCCACAAACGGACACTGTCCTCACCTTTTATCTCAAACTCCAGGGAAGTAGTGGTGCAATGGTTTTCACATGTATTCCCTGTATTTGTGCACACACAACGATTATTTAGTTTCCCCATTGTGTGCTTGGGAGTTACCTGAAAAGGTGTGTAGGAAACAACTGAGGTGCACATATCTATTTAATGTATGCTAATTGATCATTCCACACAATAATAATAGTAATATAAACAACATTTTAAGTCTAAACTACAACTGAGCAGGAAATTTTAAAAAACAATAAAATATTAATTACCGGGGGGTACAATTCTATAATTTGCCTAAAATACTTAAATAAGATTTAGAAACATTTTATTTTAAAGACCCTAATATTCAAAAGAGTCATTAATGAAAATGATTTAATAAATTTCGTTAAAAGTCTGAGGTTCCTTCTTAAAAACACATCTTGATATCAGATAAGATAAAAAGATTATTACATGTAGCACATTTCCTGGTTGCTAACAAATTTCAAACAACTCATATTCTTAACTAATGTAAAATATTCATCACTGAAAGTTTATCATCATCAAAACATTTTCTTTGATCCCAAATTGGATGAATTAAATAAAATTATTTTTCACCAAATATTGTTAACAACATCAGTTCTCCAGATTTTGGAATATAAACACGGGAAAGATAGTTACCCAAATTTTGTATCTCCCTGGGCAAGGAGTGGGAAAATAAGTTCTTGGATCGTTCTGGAATTTAAAATCAATAATTACAAACACATGCACATAACACTGTAGTTCAAATACACATATTCTTTATTTCAGTATAACTGTGTGTTATTTATTTATTTATTTTTGTGTTGAGCATGCCACATTGCACAGAATGCAATATCAGGAAAAATAACACTATGTTAGTTCATAATTCTGCATGATTACCTACTTTTTTCTCAAAGACTTGTATTCTTACACTTACCTCATATACATCATTACTCTTAATTTTTTTACTGGTTTCATTATGAAGCAGTTCCACATCATAAACAATGATATCAGACTTGGGTTGGAAATAGACCTCCAGTTCAGCAGATTTTATCTGTAGACGTATCGTTGTGTACCATAAAGCTCCAGATAATGTGTTGGGGTCTGAAAGCAAATTTCCTTTGATTATACTGGGCAACGTGTTTAAGACCTTTTTAAAACAAAAATGATTTTTCAAATTGTTGAAATTTCATCACTTTTTCTCTAAATCATCTCTGACTAGTATAAACCATATTCAAAACTGTTGACAAAATTACAATTTATAAACCTGTTTTTGCGATGTTACTCTCTAGTGTTTCAGTCAATCTCAGTCTAGTGATTTCACATACATATGTAATGCTCTTTGGTGGGACTTGCCTCGCTGGCAAAATAAAATATTGCAGAATTGTTCTGGCTTTTTTTTCTACCCTTTTTAAATTTTGCTTTCTTGTTTTTTTAAATACTATATAAAGGTATAATGTTTATGGTATAAATATGAACTTAAATGAATTATTCTCCCTGGTTGACTCAAACAAAAATGGACCCCCTTCCAATGCAAGGGTCAAACCTGCATCATTTGTGTTTACTGTGTAGAATAGAAGTATATGTGTGTGTGTGTGTGTGTGTGTGTTAGCCTAAAAATTTTTTTTTGCTACCACTTATTTATTACTTATTTAATAATATAATATAATAGCAGTAAATTTCAAAGATCGAGTCATCATCTGAAGTCCCTGAATAAAACCCACCTTTGTCTTTGGCCAATGTACTTTGGAACATATGTACACAGGGTTGAGTGCGATCAGGGCTTGGCATGGGTAGGCTGCAAACTTGAACCCAGCAGTCTGTGCTTTCAGGAAGGTTATTTATGAAGAAGTGGAACATGGGCTGAAACACAAGAAAATTATTTATGATCCATTTATCACAGAGGGCATTCAGAAGAAGATAATCTACTGACTAACAGATCCGTCGATTAAACATGGAAGACCCCACTTCAAAAACGATGCCGCTGAGTCCCAGTGGTTCCCCCCCCTTCACATGCGCCATTAAACAGATTAATTCTCATCTCAGAGGTTTATATGGTGGGCCCCTGCAGCAACGTAGTGTGTGAAGAAGGAGAGACCATCATGGAATAAGCGACATTGCTTTTGAAGTAGGGTCGGCCATATTTAATTGGCGGATCAGTTAATTAGTACTCGAATTCTCTGTTCTGAATGTGCCAATACAGTGGTATATAATTCATGCAAGGAATCAGAATCTCTTCGTACCTACTTCACGTGCTTGTGAACGTTATTGTGCACCTGCATATTTGCATGGTCCTGTTAGTGGGCATGTATAAAATCAGTGTGTGTGTGTGTGTGTGTGTGTGCGTGCGTGCATGAGAGAGAGAGAAAAAGAGAGTGAGTTAGTGTACATGTTTTTAGTAAAAACATCAATAAAAATTCAGATCTAAGTTCACAATACAATACAATAAAGTTTATTTCATGTCGGAAAGAATGAAAGTACAAACATTAGCTGAGTAGCTATTCACCGACAGAATAAGTTAGATAATGATACCATGTTTACTACTACTATTTTTAACTACTTCTATTGATTGAAATTACAACAGGAAAATTAGGCTTAACAGCTGACATAGTATCAAACATGATTATAGCTGGCAATTAATTAATTAATTAATTATGTTTACACTGAGACATCGTGTCTGTTTAAATTTATCGTTATGAATATTTGTTGCGGAGATTACACTTGCACTTAGGTCCTTCCCATTTTTAAAGCATTGTTTTCACTTCATTCAGACTAACACATTGTTTGATTTCATTTGGTAGATCATTCCAAATTTTTTGCCCAAAACATATTGCACACATTTAAACAAGATTGTATAAAAATAATAAGCATCACTTACTCTTGGTTGGTTCATGTGATCAGCATCATTCCAGACAGCGTCAGTCATGTTGTAGAATCTGCATATATTTTCGTTCACTCTGTACCCATTTAAAAACAATATGGTCACTTTAAATCCCTTGGTGTAACGGAATCCAGCTGAAAGGTGAACAATAAGGTCACTAATTCTGTTATATATAATTCTCTTTGGAAGGAAGGAACATTATTTAAAACAACTCATTTCACAAAGCTTTAAGTAGTCTTTTTCCACTTAAATCTTTGCCTTACTGATCAGAGATTTAGCCAATTAAGCTGAATTTCACAAAGCAGTCTAAAAAATAAGCCAAAAGACAAAATTTCAGCCTTCTATACAAGGCAATTAATTGCACACACACACACACACACACTTTTTTAAAACTTATTTGTTATTTGACAATGATATAGGGTTTATTTTCATGTCTAAAAAATTCTTACCATTATCAGCTGCCTTCCAAGTGATATTGAAAGCAGGATAATTATCAAAAGTACGCCCCTTGTAAACATAATCTTTTAGGAAAGATTCTCCAGTCAACTCAGTGGGAGCACTAGGATTGAAATTATTGTTCGTCAAATTTGATATCCAGGCATCTAAACAGTTTTTACCTGCAAAAAAGGAACAGATGAAATGAATAAATAAATAAAATAAATCAATAAATACAACAGAAATGTGTCATTAGATATTTTGATCAATTTTAACACAATGGCTAAATATGTACATGACAGACACTCATGCCTTAATTAAATTTAATTTGTATTTTACATTTTTCCATTACAATATTGTCAATGTCAAACATTATAAAGCAGTGAATGAAAAATGATATTTAAAATAACCAAAGGATTATTTGCCATCAATGACCTGTATAAAAACCATTCAAAATATACATCATTTTTATAAATTAATAAGCAATTTTTTGAGTTATTGTGTGTACCATACGTAATTGCTTGGGTTTTCTAAGGGTCAAACATTTCACTTTCATTTAACATTTTCATGATAATATTAAGTATCTGGTAATTTTTAAAGTCAACTTACTAGCAGTACATTTCAGGTGAGGGAAGCCCTGCAAAATAAAAAAGATACAATTAAGTTATTAATTTTAGACTTGAAATACAAAATAACATTTCAAAATATATTTTGGTATTAGATGAAATAAATATAAATAAATACTTAAATTTAAATATATTTATATACAAAGTTTGTGGATTCAAAGTGTCTGAGTCATGCAGTTAAAACTGCAGGGCTTGTCAATGTTTAAGCTTTTCCTATCTTTCAAGACTGATATCTACTGCTGCACTTAAACAACAGAAAATGTTCTACTTGCTTACAACCCTTGTAATTCTGTGGCATTCAAACTGCATTTTCCAATTTTGTTGCTTTTTGAAAACCATTGCTTTAGCTGCGATCTCACTGATATTCATCTCATCCAACACAATCTAAGATCTCATTAATTTTTTTCTTTTCAATTAACTATCATTATTGGTGATAAATGTAGCAGTGGTCTTTACAAGGCCATCACTTAAAACCATGTACTATCGCATACAATATCTACTAGTACATTGTAATTTCTACATATTTATTTACATACATGCACATTTCCTTTCATTTTTTGTGATTTGGCACAGGTAATACTGAATATGCACTTAGTTATCTCACAAGTCAATCTGACATTTGTTTACTTAATAACAATTTGCAATGATTAAATAATAAACTAAACATATATGCACGCCATCAAGAACAAAACAATTACTGAAAGAAAATGTGTATAGATTCTTTAGAAATGATTGACTTTTGCATCAACAAGTTCAGCCCATTTGCAAATCAACTAAATTCCCTATTTAATCTATCACATTGTTCAGCAAAAAAAAAAAATAATAATACAGAATGCACGTGGTCTTCTATTATACTGTATAATAGAATCTTAGTTTGTCAGCCTTCACTGGTTCTTACCACTAGCTGTAGCTATTGTAGGATCTTATTATTACTTATTGAATCCCTCAAGTGCTATTCAATTACAGCCCATAACTTCCTTGATATTTTGACAATTCACTCAGTTGTATGTAGAAAGACTTGTCTGAGAAATGAAACAAGTAATAAATTATACAATTTCTTGGAAGTTGAACTTAATAATATATTGCCCACTCAAAGAAAATATGCCCAATCCTTGTCATTCAAGTCAATAACAATTCTCCCCCACAGGGGTATCACATAACATGCATTTTATCTTTTCTTAGTGAGATACGTTTACCAAAAATGCAAAACTGATTACAAAGAGAAAAATGTATGTTATTATGTATGCTGTAATGTACNTGAGGGTTAAACAGATTAATTCTCATCTCAGAGGTTTATATGGTGGGCCCCTGCAGCGACGTAGTGTGTGAAGAAGGAGAGACCATCATGGAATTAGCGACATTGCTTTTGAAGTAGGGTCGGCCATATTTAATCGGCGGATCAGTTAATTAGTACTCGAATTCTCTGTTCTGAATGTGCCAATACAGTGGTATATAATTCATGCAAGGAATCAGAATCTCTTCGTACCTACTTCACGTGCTTGTGAATGTTCTTGCCTTGTTCCTGCCATGTTTGCATGGTCCTGTTAGTGGGCACGTATAAAATCAGTGTGTGTGTGTGTGTGTGTGTGTGTGTGTGTGTGTGTGCGCGCGCGTACATGAGAGAGAGAGAGAGAGAAAGAGAGAGAGTTAGTGTACATGTTTTTAGTAAAAACATCAATAAAAAATCAGATCTAAGTTCACAATACAATACAATAAAGTTTATTTCATGTCGGAAAGAATGAAAGTACAAACATTAGCCAAGTAGCTATTCACTGACACAATAAGTTAGATAATGATACAATGTTTACCACTAGTATTTCTAACTACTTCTATTGATTGCAATTACAACAGGAAAATAAGGCCTAGCAGCTGACATGGTATGATACATGATCATAGCTGATAATTTATTAATTATGTTTACACTGAGACATCGTTTCGGTTTAAATTTATCGTTATCCATATTTGTTGCGGAGATAACACTTGCACTTAGGTCCTTCCCATTTTTTAAGCATTGTTTTCACTGCATTCAGACTACCACATTATTTGATTTCATTTGGTAGATCATTTCAAATTTTTGGCCCAAAACATATTGCACACATTTAAACAAGATTGTATAAAAATAATAAGCATCACTTACTCTTGGTTGGTTCATGTGATCAGCATCATTCCAGACAGCGTCAGTCATGTTGTAGAATCTGCATATGTTTTCGTTCACTCTGTACCCATTTAAAAACAATATGGTCACTTTAAATCCCTTGGTGTAACGGAATCCAGCTGAAAGGTGAACAATAAGGTCACTAATTCTGTTATATATAATTCTCTTTGGAAGGAAGGAACATTATTTAAAACAACTCATTTCACAAAGCTTTAAGTAGTCTTTTTCCACTTAAATCTTTGCCTTACTGATCAGAGATTTAGCCAATTAAGCTGAATTTCACAAAGCAGCTAACTGTCCGCGTGCCATTTTTTCAGTCTAAAAAAGAAGCCAAAAGACAAAATTTCAGCCTTCTATACAAGGCAATTAATTGCACACACACACACTTTTTAAAAACTTATTTGTTATTTGACAATGATATAGGGTTTATTTTCATGTCTAAAAAATTCTTACCATTATCAGCTGCCTTCCAAGTGATATTGAAAGCAGGATAATTATCAAAAGTACGCCCCTTGTAAACATAATCTTTTAGGAAAGATTCTCCAGTCAACTCAGTGGGAGCACTAGGATTGAAATTATTGTTCGTCAAATTTGATATCCAGGCATCTAAACAGTTTTTACCTGCAAAAAAGGAACAGATGAAATGAATAAATAAATAAAATAAATCAATAAATACAACAGAAATGTGTCATTAGATATTTTGATCAATTTTAACACAATGGCTAAATATGTACATGACAGACACTCATGCCTTAATTAAATTTAATTTGTATTTTACATTTTTCCATTACAATATTTTCAATGTCAAACATTATAAAGCAGTGAATGAAAAATGATATTTAAAATAACCAAAGGATTATTTGCCATCAATGACCTGTATAAAAACCATTCAAAATATACACCATTTTTATAAATTAATAAGCAATTTTTTGAGTTATTGTGTGTACCATACGTAATTGCTTGGGTTTTCTAAGGGTCAAACATTTCACTTTCATTTAACATTTTCATGATAATATTAAGTATCTGGTAATTTTAAAAGTCAACTTACTAGCAGTACATTTCAGGTGAGGGAAGCCCTGCAAAATAAAAAAGATATAATTAAGTTATTAATTTTAGACTTGAAATACAAAATAACATATCAAAATATATTTCCGTATTAGATGAAATAAATATAAATAAATATACTTAAATTTAAATATATTTATATACAAAGTTTGTGGATTCAAAGTGTCCGAGTCATGCAGTTAAAACTGCAGGGCTTGTCAATGTTTAAGCTTTTCCTATCTTTCAAGACTGATATCTACAACAGAAAATATTCTACTTGCTTACAACCCTTGTAATTCTGTGGCATTCAAACTGCATTTTCCAATTTTGTTGCCTTTTGAAAACCATTGCTTTAGCTGCGATCTCACTGATATTCGTCTCATCCAACACAATCTAAGATCTCATTAATTTTTTTCTTTTCAATTAACTATCATTATTGGTGATAAATGTAGCAGTGGTCTTTACAAGGCCATCACTTAAAACCATGTACTATTGCATACAATATCTACTAGTACATTGTAATTTCTACAAATACATTTACATACATGTACATTTTCTTTCTTTTTTTGTGATTTGGCTCATGGTAATACTGAATATGCACTTAGTTATCTCACAAGTCAATCTGACATTTGTTTACTTAATAATAATTTGCAATGATTAAATAATAAACTAAACATATATGCACACCATCAAGAACAAAACAATTACTGAAAGAAAATGTGTATAGATTCTTTAGAAATGATTGACTTTTGCATCAACAAGTTCAGACCATTTGCAAATCAAATAAATTCCCAATATAATCTATCACATTGTTAAGCAAAATAATAATAAGTAAAAAATAATAATTAACATAATAATAAGGAATGCACGTGGTCTTCTTCATCCAAGCTAAACTATTATGAAAATAGTCGCCAACATCCTACTATAGCTAAAGCTAGTAACAAGAACCAGTAAAGGCTGACAAACTAAGATTCTATTAGACTTATTGAATCCCTCAAGTGCTATCCAATAACAGCCCATAACTTCCTTGATATTTTGACAATTCACTCAGTTGTATGTAGAAAGACTTGTCTGAGAAATGAAACAAGTAATAAATTATACAATTTCTTGGAAGTTGAACTTAATAATATATTGCCCACTCAAAGAAAATATGCCCAATCCTTGTCATTCAAGTCAATAACAATTCTCCCCCACAGGGGTATCACATAACATGCATTTTATCTTTTCTTAGTGAGATACGTTTACCAAAAATGCAAAACTGATTACAAAGAGAAAAATGTATGTTATTATGTATGCTGTAATGTGCNGGATCGATCTATCTCCATGAGGAGTCTCACTAAATTGCTGTCAACTTTACCAGCTTAAATGTCTGTCACGCCTAGTAAAGCTGTAAGGGGGTTATTAAATTTACCCTAGCTGCCAGTAGGCGTGACAGGCAATCAAGATGATTTAGTTGATAGCAATTTAGTGAGACTCCCCAGAGAGTTAGGCCGATCCAGATGGATCGATATAAGCATAGGAACCCAGTCTCTGTCTGTTGTCTGCTGTTGGCTAATGTTTTTTATTTCAAAATTCTGCCAAGGCACAAGGCTCCAAATACAAAAGGGGTACTTATGATGAAGGTTCAGTATTTAGAAAATGTACTAGTATTACGATGCCACATATATGCATGTAGCTGTGTTAATTTGCATGTTCAGAGCGAGCACTGACCTCCATGCCCTAATGTTTTAAAGGAGGCTTTCACATATTTGAATTTTTTTCTTCGATCTTCATGCATAGTTGTGGAACATTAGTGATTCATTACAAAAAAAACTAACGACTCACTTTTGTAGCACAACATATTTTAATATGTTTAACATATTTTAATTTGCATATTAAAATGTGGAAATCCGGGCCCCTACTTGTGTTATAATTATGCTGGAATGCTTCAACTTTTACAACATTAGTAACTATTGGTAATTAGTTTTCTATACTTTGTTTGCTATCTTTGTGCTACTTGTACTCTACTCTAACTGGGGTCATAATAACCAAATTTATTTAACAACAAATTCAAATAATATTACAAAGAAATGCCTTCTAAATTAATCTTATCTAAATTCTAATATTTTCTGATGGTTTACAGAGTCCTTTTTACACAACTTCGATATTAATATAGATGCAGTACTTCCTTCAATGGGTTGTTTAAAGTAACATTATCAGCATATCTTAAGTGCAGCTGTCCTTATTTAACAATTGTGTGTGATGTTATTATTAATTATACTTCCTGGTCCCGTTTAGTTATGTTTGATCTGTCAATGTCTCCACTGGTAGCTACCATATCAATCTCATCAATCTCAATTACCTCTGTTCTCTTAATGGCTTGTTTCCTCATATGCTGACATGTTTTCTTTTTTTTTTTTTAAGCATAATAGTTTAACGTATCATTGTTTGAGCTTTGACTTTAGTTCTAGCAAACCAAGTAATGATGTCTGACTTCATCTTACGTCTTTTTCAAGCAAAACAATGTATCTACATGAAAATGCTGCTTAAAAATTTTGACTGTTGCTTAAAAATTTTGCATTTTCAAATACGTGATCATCTGCTAAAAAATTAACTCTTTGCACACCTGCAGTTTCCCCACAAACACAATTGTTTTGCTCTGTTTGGTTACCACAATTGAGGCCTCCAGCTCGGCATCATGAGCCAGCCTCTGGAGATCACGCAATGGGCCCTACGAAATGTGTGGTATTTATTTTTACACTTTATCGTTAAATCAACACCAGCCATCAGCTGCGAAACACACCAAGATCCAATCAAGCTATTCCATAAGTGGCACCAACAGTTTTTACGACTAAACAGGCCTTTAAAGCAAAAACAGGCAAGATCATCATTTTCACTTGAAAATTTTCCATCCAGTGTGCCCTTCGTAAATGTCATTATATCATAATATCTTAACTCAGCTACTATAATAATAATAATAATAATAATAATAATAATAATAATAATATATTAAAAACTTCTAAAACTTTGGCCTAAAATTTGGGCGAAAAAGATAAATACAAGTAATTAAATTTTAATTTCAATAATCGTAAGTTTATTGAGTACTTTGAGATGAGTGCTATTAACAGGCCTTCTCTTCTGCATGGCACACATCTAAATAATTGACAGTGAGTCTCAGTGCAGACTAAAGATCATCTAAATATTTAACAGTGTCAGCCAGCACCCACACAAAAGCACATGCTTAGTGCAAAACTCTCTCATCAGCCTGTATATTTTCTTTTCCAAGCCCACACCAACTAATCCAAACTGTTTGCCTCCAATACAGGTAATATGGCAGTTGAGAGTGGCAAGGGAGACCCCCAAGTTAATAACACGATCATTGTACTACAGCCTTAAAAGCTTCCCTGCGGAACCTAATCACCACATATATATGTTACTACTACCTATATGCACCAGCTGTTCACCCATGGGATCCATTCTCAGTGCATTTTTCTTCAGAATTAACTGCTGTTGTACTCCTCAATCTCTGATCATAATAGGTTACTGTCTACCTTTATTTTGTGTTATATGCTATTTAATGGTGTTGGTCTTAGGAACATGTACTAGTAGTCTTATATGTATATGAAATTGCGCCATGCAAAGATCCCCATATTAAAGTTAACTCTGCCCCTACAACTGTAGTTTATGTCACAAAGAAAAAAAAAACAAAAAAAAAAGAAAAACACTGTGATATATTCCTGCAGGTACCAGATGAGATATATACGCAACCTCGTGAACATCAGGAAAATAAGCTAGGCCAGTTTATAGTATAGGTTTATAGCATATACATACTAGCATTCAAATATGCACACAGACACACACACACACACACACACACACACACACTCAAACACATGTACACACAACACATGCACACACACACGTATGTACACATGAACACACAAACTCACACACATGTTACTGATGTATATACAACATATGCATGCATGCACACAAACATGCGCACACACACGCGCACACACATACATACACACACACACATACACACACATACATACACACACACACACATACATACACACACACACACATACACACACATACACACACACACACACACATACATACACACACACACACACACACACACATACATACACACACACACACACATACATACACACACACACACACACACTCACACACATACATACACACACACTGGCACACTTTTAGATCCAAATTTTTCAACTTCCAAAATAAAGAGGAAAATTTTAACAAGCAGGTAAACATGGAGGTTAGGCACACAGTAACAGCCCCTGATTAACTCTGACATGTTACACCAGTTACTCTCATGTAAGGCACACAACAGTTAAAGTAGTGATGACAAGGTAAACGCAAACAGCAAATTGCATATATAGAGAACCATCCAATGTAACAAGTTGAAGCAGTGTTGATAGCGTACACGCAGACTGCAAATTACATAGGTAACCATTGCGCCGTATGATATTGGAGACATGTTGTTCCACGTAAATGACTGCAAAATTGCTTATTAATTTATAAAAATGGTGTATATTTTGATGTTTTTTATACAGGTCATTCATGGCAAATAATCCTTTGGTTTAAAAAAAAAAACAGTTTGTAACAACGAGAGGGCTCCAGCTGCAATATGTACCTTAAACGTAACAGGCAATAAAAAAAGTGGAAGTTTCAATTCATGGAGTTGTTTTCAAAAAAATAAATAAATAAATGAAACAAAAATAAATGAGATTTTTTTTTATTTCATTCAGCACTGGAGCTTAGTTTGAAATAAAAATTGGTGACATTACTCAACCTCACCTACCCCCCCCCCCCCCCCCATATCTTTACCTTAGTTTGCAGTAAAAACAGTTTGGTTTATACAAATCAAATTACTTTTGGTATATTTGCCTCAATGAAACCAGACACATGCTACCAAGTCTTCTTACTGGCACTTAAAAACTGAGATACCATGACAAACCCTATGGACGGCAAAGTTAAATTTAATTGTTAACAAACAGTCTTTAAAAAAAGA